TTGATTTTTTATTTACTTTCTTCTACTTTGTATAATTTTTAAAAATTAATAATATTTTTATTTTTTTATTGCACATAAAATAAAATAAAATTTATAAGTCAATTTTTCTTCCACTTTAGCAACTAATAACTAAATTATAATTTTATTATAATGTTTTATGAACCATAATTTCAAACTTAAGTTAAGTTAAAATTTAATTTTTAATAGTTTTGTTATTATTGAATTACAATGGTATGTGTACATATATAACTAAAAAGATGCTACATGTTTATTTAATAAAACTATCAAATCAATAAGTATTATGACAATTGCTAAATAATTTATAATAATAATTTCCACGACCATTATATTTAGCCATTAAAATCCATATCCGTTAATACGTCAGAAATACTTTTGGGTTCTAATTGCTCTCAAAGTATTTATGTTCTTGATCTTGGAATTCTTGTCCTGTGAGTCCCATCATTCATGCAGGAATATCTTAAAACAGATTGTTAAAATATAGTCTGCAATTTTTAATATTACTACCATTATTAGATCAATCTATATCAAGTGGGGTATTATATTTATTAACAGAATAATAATTGGTGTAGTTGGCCATTTCCAATTTATAACAGGCAGTGAGCAGTAGCAAAATTATCGTTCCTAATAGACAAAGGCATCCCTTCTGGATTTCTTCCTCATATTCTCAATCTTCCTTTCAATGGAAAGGCACACAGAAAATAAAAATCAAAGATTTGGCACTTAAGTTACATCTTTCTCTTTTTTGAAAGAGTAAATTAGATATATGATATAAATTATAAGAATAAACTGAGATTATAGTTTTAAGGACAAATTTAAGAATAAAATTAAAATATAAAAATAAGTTAGATTAATTATCCCTTTACCTTAGGGCTATTTACTGTATAATAATTATGATAGTTTGGTTGTAAAATATCATATCAACAACTCATTTATTTTATAAGAATACAATTGACTCAATTAAAAATATAATGACATATTATATAACAATAGACTGAAATATTTCTCTCAAATAATGACAGAGAACTCCTTGCTATGCCCAAATTAGAAAATGAATTGTTCTTTCCACTTTCAGATTTTTAACTAAAGGTCTATCAATCAGAAGAAATTGGCTGAATACTCTTGGATTCAAGCACCTCGGATTCACTTTGATTTTTTACACAATTAAGTTGAGATTCAATTTGTAAATTAACATTTTTAGGATTTGCACAATGCATTATAAATTTGAGTGCAACCCAGGAAATCAACAAGTATCTAATTCATATTATACCAGCTATGATGATGAAGTTTCCCTCTCCGTATGACAGCTAAAATTCAATCGATGAGAATAGTAATTGATGATTGTATCCTGTTTTAGCTAGAAGTATGCAGAAGAAGGTTCATATATCCATTATTTTCTGTTTCTTAGAAAATGCACTTCAAAATTTCTTTGATAAATAAAACTGCCCACTGTATGTGATGGTTTAGCTAAAATCTTGGTGTGTTTTTTGGAATTGGAAAACAACCCAAGAAAATCAAGGAATTAGTGCCCGTTTATTGAAACTATAACTCATGAAACTTCATTTCCCTATTATTTAAACTTAAGATAATTTTTTTCTTGTACGGCTTAGGTCTGCAGCTGCACCAACAAAGTTCTTCTAGCTTGAATGAGTTTTTCTTTGTTTTTTTTTCCTTGCCCAATACTTCTCTCTTTTTCGGTATACCCAAGAAATGATTTTCTTAATTCATTACATTCCTACAAAGAACACAACTTTTCAGACATAATTTATACTATGGTGACAATAGATATGATTGATTTATTAAATCTTCACATTGAAAAGTAGAAACAGTGCATATTTCAGATTTATTTACACTAAAGGCTTCCAACCTCTGACTCCAAATCGCTTAAGAAGATTGTCCACGAGAAAGTAGTAGCACTTGTTGATGATCTCCTCAATGAAGTAAAACCATACTTGTCGCCAGCGTGGGTTTATGTACAAAACTGCAGCTATTCCCAACAGCACCATGATGTATGTCACACCAAAGCTAACATAGAAAGTAAATGTATCTATGAAGCCACTTTCTTCTATATTATCCGTTGAATTCCTTGGCAGCGATGATGGAGCTTCTTCTTCTTGGGTGCAACGTTTTGAGAGTGGTGGTCCACAAAGAAAAGGATTTCCCTCATAACTACTCTTATTGAATGTTGAAAATTGTGCAACCATATCAGGAGTTTTACCAGATAAGTTATTATCGGCAACACTGAAAAAGGCCAGAGAATGCATTTCTACAAGTTGAAGAGGAATTTTCCCTGTCAAATTGTTATTGGAAAGATCCAAGCTTTCAACTTGACTCAAGTTTGAAAAAGTTTGTGGGATTGGGCCTAATAAATGGTTGTTGGACAGATTCAGTGTATGGATGTTGTTAAGGTTTCCAATCTCCTGAGGAATGTTACCTTCCAAATTGTTGCAAGAGAGATCCAATCCAGACATGTACTTCAAAACACTTGGCGGGTAAGAATAGGATATACTCTTAGTTGTAATCTCTAAAGGTTGCTTAGGCTCAAATGCATAAGAATTTGTTGTTAGTTGGAGGAACCAAAAACTGCTTTTATATCTTAGACAAGGTAGGATATGACCAGAAAAATTATTATGAGACAGATCAATGAAGCCCAACTCGTCCAACTTGCACAGTTGGAAGGGTAGTCTTCCTTCAAGATTATTATGACCCAATAGAAGAAAACTCAATTTGTAAATCTGACCAATCCATTCTGGAATGCTACCACTCAATCCATTATGGCTAAGATCCAATGTTACTAGCTCAAAGGAGTTTCGAAATGCATCTTCCAAATTTCCTTGTAATGTATTGTGTGACAAATAAAGATGAATGAGTGGCAAAAAGCTAAAGCAAGATGGTAGAGTTCCAGAGATGTTGTTCTTTGACATATCCAAAATTTGAAGATGCAACATAGTGCCAATTGAAGAGGGAATGCTACCAGAGAAGTGATTTCCAGACATGAATAAAAAAGTTAAACTTGGAAAGTATGCTCCAATTTCTATTGGAATGTGGCTATCGAAATAATTGTGAGAAATATCTAATTTTGACAATTTCACATGAGGATGAATTGGCAATTGAAAAGGTCCAGAAAGAGAATTATTGGCCAAATAAAATTGATCAAGGTTTGTGTTGTTGTCTAGCAGCCAATTAGGAAACCCTCCCCGTAATTTCGAGTTAGAAAAATCAATTATTTGCAGGTTGAATTGATAGAAAAGAAATTTGGGAAATGCTCCACCATGTCCATGGCCAGATAAATTAAGTTTCTCTAATTGGAACTTTGGGGTCAAATTATGCTCCTTTAATTCCTCTACATATATTTCGTTATTGGCACCAGAGAAAAACTTGAGTTTTGAATGGTTGAAAAAATGATTCAATGAGATGGGGATCTGAAAGTGATTGTCTGAAAGATATAAGTATTGGAGAGATGTGAGACTAACAAGAGGAGATGAGGAAATATCTCCAGTAAAGTGATTGGAAGAGACATCTAAGAATTGAAGGGATGTCAAATTTGACAAACACCAAGGCAAGGTACCATTGAGATCATTATAGCCGATACCTAGAGTTTGCAGATGCTTTAACTCACATAGGCCTGAAAATGAGAATTATTAATTAATTTATAAAATTTTTAGGTTGAAATAAAAGAAGATTACATAGAGAGAGAAGGGGCATCAAATGGACTTACCTTGGGCTGTAGGTATGGTGCCATTGAGTCCACAACCAATCAAGTACAAAGCCTTTAGAGTAGTAATCTTTCCGACTTTTTCCAAAAAGATGTTACCGAGTGTACAGGAAACCACTTCCAATTCTTCCAAGTTCTTGAGAGAAAGTAAGGCTACAATAGTCAAACAGACAAGAAATACTTAATAATTAGCGATATTGAAAAAGATAAGCGAAAAGAAGTTGGATTCTTTTTAGCCAAAAAAATAAAAAAAAACACCTTAAATAATATTCTTTTTATTCTCTAACGTAACAAGAAAATTTTTTTTTTGGTTGAAATTGTACTTAATTTTTCATAACTAGGAAAATTATGAAACAATAATTAACTAAATTACGAAATGATGTGATATTTTTTAAGGTTTATTTGATGACTCTATTTAACTGTTCATAATCACTAATTATTTGTTTCAAAGTAAATAATATTTATTTTCTTTAAAAGTAACAATGTACCTTTTGAGTCGATCATAATAACATAATAATATATTAGTAACAATCATACTTATGAGATAATTAGTTAAGTTATTGAGTGGTAGGATAAATTATTCCAATACATAAATAAAAATATTTAATAATTTAAAATTTAAAATTATAGTTTCTTTAAGTAACCATAGGTGTATCTAAATAAAAATAATTGAAGTATATGTATACTTTAGTGAGATGAAGTAAAAGTTTGTTTACTAACAATGGGTTGAGGTCAAACTGTCAAAAGACACGTCATTGTATACCAAAGTAATTGACAAAAGGTGGATGGAAGTAGTTGTTTGAAAGTTTTTGAAGCAATTAATTAACTTAAAAAAGAATTTAATTGAGAAAAATTATAAAATTAAGGTATTATTAGTGTAATTATTTCTATTTTTTTTTCATTCAAATATGACAATCTTCTGTTATTGTTGTAATCACGAGTTTTATGTGGTACAATCTTTTCGAAGGAAAAAAACAATAAAGAGTATTAAAGAAATTAAAGCCTTCAATCTAATTATACCGTCCAAATCAACGTAAAGATACAAGTTTTTTTTTTTTGTGGTTCTAACTAAAGAGATGATTTTTTTTTAAAAAAAAATCGAATTTGAAAATTATTGAAGAAAGGAGGAACATTATAATTTATTAGCAACTAAAGAAATAAGTTGAACAATCGGAAATGATGCAAATAAATAAATAAATAAATCTAAAGAGATTATGTTTTTTTTAAAAAGGACATTAATGAAGAAGTGAATAATTGATCCTAAAACTTAATCACCTTGAGCTAATATTGTTCCGTCAAAATGGTTCCATCCCAGAACAAGGGTCCTGAGGTTTGCGAATTTTGCCAATGATTGCAGTAATGAGAATGGAATGCTTCTTCCATTTGTGGTCATATTATATAAATAAAGGGAGCTTAGGTTTGGAAAACCTCTACTATCTGCAAGTGAGAAGAGAATAAAACAAGTTTTGATGCGTTAAATCATGAAAACGATGAGGTAAAAAGTCACCAGCACTCATGTAAAAATTAATACCTTTTGCGAACATGAATTTGTCAATCTTATTTCCATCCAGAACCACCGACTTTAAGTTGATCAAAGCATCCAATTCTAGGTTGCAGGGAAAAAAAATTCTTTATATTAGGTCATAAGAAAACCTTAATTAAAATTTTTTTTTTGAGAAAGAATAATTAATATGTGATTATATATAAAAAGAACCTTTCATGTTAAATGATCCTTTTAATTGATTGTCAGATAAATCCAAAAGTTGAAGAAACAAAAGACTCTTAAGGGATTGTAATATGCTGTTATTGAAGCGATTTTCACCCAGTGAAAGGACCTCTAAATTGCTCAATTCCAATAATGCTTCACCACCTATTAAAAAACATTATATTAAAATTTCACGTCAAAAATATGAAATTAGCTTATCAGTGAATTTATTTTGACTTATTCGTGAAGGAAGAAAAATTAAAATAGTTAACTCACGACTCTTTCATACCATGAAAGGATTTGAAGCCTTCAATTTCATTATCTTCGAGATTCAAACTTTCCAGACTTCTTAAGCTGTTCAGTTCTGTTCATGCATATATATATATATATATATATATATATATATATATATATATATATATATATATATATATAAGAGTTAATTACTATAAATTTTACGTTGTAAAAGCAACAAGAAGAGTCGTAATAACGTGATTTGTTTGAGACATGAAAGGAAGAGAAAGTTAAATTACTCGCGTACCTTCAATATTAATTGATCCTTTGAGTCTATTGCCGGATAGAAATAATGATTTCAAAGATGAAAGAGCACTTAGAGATGTTAGGATGCTGTTGTTAAACTTGTTACTACTTAAATAGAGATCCTCCAAATTGTCGAGTTTGGAAAGTATTTCAAAACCTGGATGATCGTTAACAAGAAAAGTTAATTCTGTCAGTTTGATAAATGAACACTTATATTCTTAAATTATATTTCTACAAATTTTAAATTTTGTTTACAATAATTTGAATCAACAAACAAACCTTCATTCTGAACACAACCGAGTATATTATTTCCACTCAAGTCAAGAGAGTTCAGTTCTTGGAAAGGAAGAAACAAAGTGGCATTTAAGTACCAATCCTCTAATCTTTTGATGATAAGATCGAGTGTGACAACTCGCCCTGTAGTGACACTGCAGTAGACTCCTTCCCAGTTACAACAGTTGGCATCTTTTCCCCAAGAGTAATACTGGGATGATAAGCCATTTGGGGAATAAAAGGAAGTTTTGATTTGCAAGAGAGCAATTCTCTCTTCCTCTAAACACCCTTCTACTAAAAGCATGACATTAACCATCCCTATCACCACCGCTACTAGAGACCATCTTTTTATTTCCATTTGGACTACAACTGCTTCTGCTTGAAAATAATCGTAGCCTCTCTTCGCATTTATAGGAGAGCGCAATGGACCATTGCGGGTTGCGGGTTCATAATATGGTGGGCCCATCTTGTGGAAAAAAATAAATTATCCCTGGCTTGTTGATCAATAAGTTCCATGAAATTTTGCTTTTAGAAAAATGTGAAATTTCTACGGTTAGTCAAGGAATCATATGAAATTAAAAATCTAAATTGTTTGGGGAGGGTGGTGAGGTCCAATGATATGGTTTTTTTTTTTTTTTTTTTGGTCTAAGCCTTTGCATACGAAAATATCATTATTATCGATTTAGTTTTATAAATATTATTTAAGATTTGAAACTTTATATAAATTTATTATGAAATGGAACTTAGTTTTTAATTTAATTATAAAAATAATGGTAATTGGATTTGAAATAAAACTACCATGTTATATTAAAAAATATTTTAGTTGCGAAGCCATCTGCAAACATATGTTTTTGGGCTTTTATCGGGATATCTTATCATTAATAGATTTGAAAACAGCAAAACTCTCTAATTGCTTGATTAATTTTTTAAATATAAATTTTGTTAGTGTTTAGCCCAACACTATTGAATTTTTTAACTGAATAAAATTTGTAACGAAATTTATACTTTTATTCATGTATTTTTTATTACAAAATCAAATTAAGAAATTCACAAAATCAAAATAAGTAAATTCATGTAATTTTTATTACATTATAAATAGTTTTGCAAGTGAAGTTAATCCGAAGTAGGCACGTCGCTTTTTAAATAAGTAACTATGTCCAAACCATTGACCCAAAACTTGCTTGAGTGTCGAGTCAATAAATTGATGAGCAGAAGCCTTGATTGACTCCGTCTGTTTGAACCGGTACTTTTCGCTGCTGATAACAGTGGGAAGGGATGGTACCGTGCCGACTTAATAAATACCAATTAATAATATCTAATAGGTATTCAAGTAGATAAAAATAATAAAAAATATATATTTATTTATTAATATAGTTTTAGGATATGATTATTCATTTTTAATCCTATTAATATCCATTAATTTATTTTAATTATTTTATTAACATTTATGAATCTAATTGTATAAAATTTAAAAGTTAAATATCGTAATATTTTTCTAAAAACTTTAAGAACAAAAAAAAACTTATAAATAAATTATTAAAATAGAAAAAATTAAAAATTAAATTTTAAAGACTAAAATTTTTTCTTGAAATTATAAGGAATAAATAAATATTTTTGATAAATTAATTTTAACGGATATTAAATTAGTACTAAATGAACGAATAAACAAATGTGAGCTAAGTATCAACCGGCTAAAGATTTATATGATTATTTCTAAATAGATAATGAATAATGTCGCTACCCACCATCGGACGAGACTCGTTGAAAATATCTAAAATGAGACTCGAATATTTACAAATTTATTTACGAGTTTGGAGTTGTCACCTAGTATTGAAGGAACTAGGAACCTAAAACGGACACTCGGTTCAAAGATTCTATAATAAGGAGTTGGTTACGCTTTTGGGAAGATGTCGATCACCAAAAAGCGACCTTTCCGAAAAAAAGGTACCACGTTTGGTTTAGCTCTAAATTTATCTCCTAAAATATTTTATTTACGTCAAATTATTTTCTGATTCATAATCTCTCATTTTTTTTAAATTGAATTTTTTAGTTTTGAGCGTGGCATCGTATTGAAACAATCGTCGGTCCCCTTCGTTGAGCGACATGTCGATTCAAACATCGGATCCACTTTAAGCCATAACACAACCGGTGTGTTGGAGGATATCTTGATTTAAAAAGTGATTTTTTTGGTGACATCGGTCCCAATCGGATAGGAGACTTCGTCGAGAATTTTAGACTTTTCTTGACGTCGGTTTCTATTAGATAGGAGACTTCGTCGAAGAAAAAAAAGATATATATTTTTTTAATTTTTTAATTTTTTTAAAGAAAACTTTAAAATTTTAATTAACTAAAATCAACTGAAACAAATTTCAAAAAAATTAAATATATCGAAATCATCGTCCGTCCTTAATAAATAAGAGACTCGTTGATACAATATTTTAATCATAAAAAAAAAATCTCATGTTAAAATAAATTTCACAACTATGTATCTTCAAAATTTCTAACATACATATATAAAATAATAATAATAAAAAGGCTACAAAACACATAAAATAAATCAAACAATCCAAAATTCACCTATATTATAAAATTACCAAAATGCCAATGGAATGCCAAGAGTCACCGCCAAGTTACCGTTCTCTTTCGGTGCCCGTTCGGGCGCGTGGACCACCCGGCCTTGTAGATCCGGTCATGGTGATTCCGATGGTGGTGGTTTCAACAGGAGAAGACGCCGGAAGAGGGAGATCGGAGCCTTCAAAGGTTTGATCGGATCTCCCTTCTTCACCGGCGATGAATCCGACCTCCTATTGGGATTCCAAGCCCACCGGTCAACTCATAAGGTCGAGAGAAGAAGTTCCGTGGTGGTTAGGACCTTCAATTCTTCCTAGATTGGCCAATTTTTTTGGGTTTATCAAAACGGATCGAAAATGGATCGAGTTCAATTGAACCGTTTTCCTGTGTCCTTGGGTCGTGGATTTTATATGAAAATACTCGGGGAGACCGGCGATCGGGTATGTGGTGGTCGATCTCGTGTTGGTGACCGGATTTGAGAGAAACGAGCGGGTATTTATTCGGGTCGGGTCGTGATGGTTTAATCTTTAATTTCTCTCTCCTCCATGAGGTTTTCTCTCTCTAATTGGTATGGATCGGTCGATCTAGTGATGGGCTACATGTGGGTGTGTTGATCGGGGTCAAAATCTGATCGGAAAACGGTCAATTGAAGCTCACAAATTTCAACCGGGTAAACGGGCAATAGAGTTTGGTTATTGGGTTAGGGCGTGTTTGGCTTTTTCTTTTTAGGTTTTCGGTATTTTTTCTTTTTGTTTTTTTTTGGCTGCGTTTTTTCTTCTTCTTCTTTTCCTCCTGCTGCAAATTGAAATTCGAAAGCTTTTTATAAGCCGAAACCTCCTAAAATCTCTCCCAAAATCAATTCAAATTCAAATTTTAATTATTAAAAATTAATTTTGAGATTTTTCTAGCTAAAAATAAGGAGATTCTAATTAAAAAAGATTTGTGGAAGATTTCAATAGATTTTTGAATGATTTTATGGAGATTTTATATTTTTTCCTTTTTTTTGTTTTTTGTTTTTTTGTTTTTTTTTTTCCTTTAAAGGAAAAAATTGGGTTATGACAAATAAGATATTGTTTTATGGGTAAAGTAAAAAATTGAATTATTGGATCAGCTAATTGCCATCCCTAACAGTGGGTGCATGCTCCATCAAAAATCCTCTTACCATTAAAAATGCTAGATGTATATTAGCAGTTAACGCTTTCATGCATCCAGCCCAAATGATCAGGCCGAACAGGTTGTCAATGGCAGTGCTAATGTTGTTATCTATGAGTTTACTAGAAAAAAGGTGGTGTCATGGTTGTTTGGAGGAAGAAAGCATTACCCAATCGGCAAATCTCTACCTTCTTGGGGAAAGGATGCCCACTGTCGTGATTGGGAAAGACTTAAGTGCAACAAAAGTAGACAGAGAGCTGATCTCTCAGCCGTGGTGGTTGGTCCAATCTGGTGGATTGGTACTATCAAAATTAAATAATGGGATAATTTTCAACATACAGCTTGCAAGTCTTCTCCAACCATTGGTTGGTGGCCCTCCATGGAGTCAAGTGTTTTGGTTCTTTTTTTCCAAAGAAGACTTTGACTTAACGTCAAGTACTGAGCTTTTGTTCAGAAAGGGTTTTTTTTTTTTCTTTTTGATAAATTACTTTTAAGATTGAATTTTTTTATGCATTTCAAACATTATTTCATCAAATTCTGCTCAGAAGCTATCTGTGACAAAAATATCTAAAATATTTAATTTTTTAAAATAATGATTAAAGATTAAAAAAAGAAATACAATAAAAAAATATACCTAATCATTGATGCAAAAGTGATGTGTATCCAACAGACGTGAGACGTGGAACCTGATTTGACCTAATATTATCAATTCTAAATCTTAAAAGACTAGAAAGAAAGATATACCTGATTACTCATAAATATAAAATATATGCATAGTTAGAAAGATATTGAGACCAGAAAGGAAGAAAAAAGAACCTTCATGCGAGGTGTTACAGGAACGAGTTGCTGAACTCCATTTTCGGGAGGGCAAGGGATTGGAACTTGGGACTTTCCTGGTACCTAAATGCCTCTCTGTTTCTTCTTTTTGAAGAACTGAACGTTCTTGACTTGAGTGAAAATCTTATACTTGGCTGCGTTGAGAATGAAAATTTGCCTCTTAATTGACAGTGTTTTTGAAATTTCGACAAAAGAATAAAAACTTACAAAATGCAAATCTTTTTTTTTTCAAATTAATCAAGTAAGATTTCAACTTCATAAAATAACAACTGAGTAGCTAGAAGTGTCACGAATGCGAGTTTCCAAAGACTCTCAAGACTTGGAAAATGGGAGCTTCTTGATTTGAGTATCGATTACTTGAACAATAGCATCCTATCTTGTCTTAAAAGGACTCTTATCTCTGAGATATCCATATCTTGATTTCAACCTATTGAAAGGATCAATAGATAGGAAAGGATAGATAAAAATTCCATTATTTTCTTGAGTAAATTATAAATTATTCTTTTTAGTTTTGTAAACAAAACAAAATAAATAGTGTTTTTTTTTTCAAAAACTAATTGAATAGTCTATACTTTATATTATTATTTTATTTTAAAAATATATTTTTTCTCATCAATATTTTCATATTATTTAAAAAACAATATACTGTATATCGTTTATTAATATTAGATGATAGGTACTATATTATTCCTAACAAAAACACAATAAGAAGCTCCTCCAACAATAAAATTATACAAAATAAAAATATATTCAAATAACTGTTGTGCTGTCGTAGGAGAAGTTATTCTCCTCAAATCCCATATATATATATATAAGAAAAAAAATAAAACAAAGAACACAATAGAAAAAAAAGAAAACAAAAAGGTAGAGAAACAATTTTTTCCTTTTTTGAATATATGCAAAAGA